AAAAGTTACCTATGCAGGTCCATGTTGACCGTAAACAGCTTCATTCGGTATTTTTAAGATTTTAACAGAATTTTTAACGGATTTTATTGTTTGTGAAAATTGTCAAATACGTTCCAAATGGTGGAGGGTATTCAAAGTTCGGCCCGGCCGAACTTATGGCTTTTTTACTTGTTAAATATTAAAGCTAAGGACATAAAGAAGAAAATGAATTTGATTTCAAAAATAAAATCATCTTTAAAAATATCTTTTCTACCTTGCCTCCCATGAAGTCGGTAGCTTCTGTTTGTATTTTTTTCTCTATTTTTAATTTAACGCCATGTATGAGTGTGTGTGTATATATATAAAGTAATCCCTGGCCAATATCAACATCAATTATTTTTCCAAACCTTACCCCACCCACATCATTTTTTATTATTAGTATTTTCACTTTTTTTCTGTTTGTTCAAATATATCACATATGTTGCCCAGGGGTTTAAAAAACTGTTATCGTTTTTTTTCTTGTGCTTCCTGTTATCTTTTTTATAAATGAGGCACTCTGTCTAAACGCCCCACCATTATACGATTTTTTATTGAAAATGTTTCTTACATGAAACAACGATTTCAAATCAATTATTTTCAAATATGGCTGTGGTTTGGCCACTGGCATACAAACACATGTAATTTATGAAGGCAGCTTAGCTACTAGATGATTTAAGAAATCGGTTTTTAAGTTTTAAATTCCTTAAGGAATTTATCTGTTTTTTGAATGAGTTTTCCATTCCACTATGTCTTAGTTTATTGAAGTTCTATATGGGAAGGTAGGAAAAGCTATATGAGGGTATAAATTACTTTGCGAATTGCAATAGATATATTTAAACACAGCCAAAGACAAATACTTTTAATAAAGGCCAAGTACACTAACATACATTAATAGCCTACCTATATGTATGAGCCATACAAGTTTCAAGAATACGTTAATGATAAAGTTCTCCCACAAAGTTTCCCAAATTCCAAAATGCATATAAACCAGTAAAGAAAGTTCAAATTCGGATGGGACTGTATTTATGATATCCTACACCACTATGCATAATTAAAAGATAAATAGACGTTTATATTCAATTTTAATCCATTTTCTCCGATTTCAATAGGGTTCATCCTTAGGTCAAAATATGACCTGTGAGAAGTTTTATCTAAATCGGACTATAAATGTGACCTGCATTTTGTTCACAAAAATACGGGGACAGACGGATGGACGGACATCCATAAATCGAATAATAAAGTGATTCTATGAGGATCCTCAAAAAAAAAAAAAACTAAGGGGCGATTTGGTTTCCCTGTACCACAGTGTGTCGTATGGAATGAACATTAAGTTCAGCCAGGAAAAACTTTCAACACCCTCCACAATTTGCAACAACAAGTTTTTTTTAAATAAAAGTATCTGCCTTCAAACTGCAAATATCAGTGAGATCGGTGGACAATGCTGTTTAAGTTTTCAGAATACAATAATGTGGGTGGAACCATTATAAAGGGGCCATACCATGATCGAAACTTATATATAATTTTCTGTCTATACCGTTTCTTAAATACAAATTTTTAATTCCAAATAAAACAGTGACTAAAATCACCAAAATACCAAATATCAGTGAGTACCGTTTTATAGAAACCGAGGACAAAAATGAACAATGTTTTGACAACGAAAGTAGAAGTCATTGTCAACTAAAAATACCGAATTAAAAAAAAAACTCAAAAAATGGGGTCTAGTTTGTATAAGTACCTTTGTATGGCGGCTATAGGAAAAGTACCATTGTATGGGGGGGCCATTAAAAAATAAAAAAACCAGTAAGGAAAGCTCAAAAGTCGGACGGGGCCGATTATATGATACCCTACACCACTATGCATATTTAGTAGAGCTCTCGTAAAAAGGTTTATACAGGGCATTTCAGAGCTCTATGAGATATTTGGTACAAAATCAAAATCTATCTAATTCTATCGTGCATTTTACGAACTATAACTATCTCTGAACCGGGTTTCTCCAAATTTGACGTATTAGCTTCTAGACTGAATTCGGTCTTATGTACGAAAATTCAGGTGATTTGGGCTGATATTGACCATTTAGTGCACATTTAACCCGAAATCGGATGAAGATATATATGGGAGCTATGTCCAAATCTGAACCGATTTCGATAAAATTTAAAACAGCTATTCATGTGCTCCATCTAATACCTGGTACCAAATATCACGGTTGTGGAGTGAATATTACGAATGTAAAGGTCTAAAACACTAAATCAGATGAAACATATATATGGTTGCTATATCTAAATCTGAACCGATTTTCACTAAATTTGATATACTTGCTTCTAGGCTGAATTTGATCCGATGTACTAAAATTCAGTCCATTTGGACTTATATCGGCCATTTGGTGCATAATTAACCCGAAATCGGATGAAGATATATATGGGAGCTATATCCAAATCTGAACCGATTTCGATAAAATTACAAACAGCTATTTCTGGGCTGTATCTTATATCTGTTACCAAATATCATTCTTGTGGAGTGCATATTACGAATGTGAGAGGCTTAAACACCAAATCGGATAAAACATATATATGGGAGCTATAGCTGTCTCTGAACCGATTTTCTCCATATTTGTTGTATTTGCTTTAAGGCTAATCTCGGTCACATATGCCAAAATTCGGGCCATTTGGGCTGATATTGGCCATTTGGTGGTCAATTAACCCGAAATCGGAAGAATATATATGTGGGAGCTATATCCAAATCTGTGAGGGACTTCAAGATCAAATCGGATGAAAGATATATATGGGAGCTATAGCTATATCTGAACCGATTTTCTCCAAATTTGATATACTTGCTTCTAGGCCGAACTCGGTTGGGTGTGCCAAAATTCAGGTAATTTGGACTGATAGTGGACATTTGGTGCACATTTAACCCGAAATCGGATGAATATATATATGGGAGCTATATCTAAATTTGATCCGATTCTCGACTCGTCCTTGGGCCAAAAAAATATTGTTTGGAAAATTTCATCTCAATCGGATAATAAATGCGACCTGCATTTTGTTCACAAGAATACATGGACAGACGGACGGACGGACAGACGGACTGACATGCATAAATCGACTCAGAAAGTGATTCTATGAAGGTTCTCAAAAGTAACTATGGGTCTATCTCGTTTCCTTCTCCATGTTACAAACAAATGCACAAAGACATAATACCCTTACCACTATGTGGTGTAGGGTATAAAAACAGCGTAAAAATGCGGTTATGATGATCATGATGAGCGCTATAGGAAAACCGTTAAATATAGTGTTCTTTCACCGAAGCTAAAATATATTACGAACTAAAAGAAATACATTTTAGTTAAAGTCGACTTAGAAGTTTATTATAATCAAGAATATACAGGGTGAAATGAAAAAACTACAACCAACTTCAGACTGCTGTCATTTCTGAGCCACTCGCCCGACAGCTGTTAAAATTATTCCAGTGACAGCTCAATGTATTGTTTACAAGCATTTTGGTGAAAATTTTCCAGAAAAAAGTTATTCGTGATGGAATTCAAGCGTGATAGTGATATTTGGCTGAAAACCACAAGTGGCTATCATTAGAGCACTCCAGCATTTAAATGTGAATAAATCTTTTGTGTCTCGTACCATCGAAACCCGCGTCGCAGTGGCCGATAAATGGCTCGTGAGCTGAACATATCGTAATATTCCATTCGGCTAATATTGAAAAATGAGATCGGTATATACCCATTGAAGTTCCAAAAAGTGCAAGAACTTACACTAGCCATGGTGATGGTGTGGGCCGCCATAAGAACCGATGGTTGCTCTCCGCTCGTATTAATCGACCGTGACATCAGAATAAATGCCGAGTATTATCCCAAAAATATTCTTGAGGGTGTGTTTAAGCCTTGGGCAGCAAAGACCTTGGTCATTTCAACAGCACAATCGCACTCACCATTGTTGCCATTGGTGTCTGAAGTATTTTAGAAAGCAAGGTTGGCACTAAAAAGTGCCAATGTGTCGATTAACTCAACTCGAACAAATCTAAACTTATTCTTAAATGTGATGCTATTTCCGACATTTTTGCTCTTATTCAATAAATTTAAAAAAAAAAAAATAAAATTATGGCGATTAACTTTGTTGCAGTTTTTCTACCTCACCCTGTATATACTTTGTTGGGTCTGAAATTATTATTTCGCTGAGTTACAAACGAATCATTGACGAATGGTGGAGGCTATAAAAAGAGGTAACACGTACTGTTGGAACGAATTTAAAATTTTAAGGTTGACTTTTCGCTGACGAAGTTGCGGGTACTGGTTCGTGGATACATATTTTGACAATGACTATTGTCATTATGAAAAAAATTAACAAAACTTTGCCTTAGTGGTCCTACTTAGCATTGTTTGTAGGTTCTTGGAAAAATATTCAAGATTTCACCATTTTTGAAACATAGCTGAGACAACAGAAAACTCAAATTTGCGGGGATTGAGTTTGACCGAAGAGTTGGAATTTAGTGTAATTAAGAGATTAAGTTGAATTTGGCTATATTTTAAAAGGCGTGATTTATGCTTAGATCAGTGGGTATACAATTTTTTTCACGTTTTTAACAGATACGGACTTTTGTTTCTACTATTACTGTTTTTCCTATTTAATCTGTTTTTTTATTTGTTTCTAAAAATGTTTTTATTTAACTATTTTCTTTTTTAAACGTCTTCATCTAATTTCTCTTCGAGCCATAATAATGGCCAATGATTATGACATTATTTTTTTTTTTTTTTTATCTTCTTTCTTTTTTTGTTTGTCAAGGTTTCACAGTTTGATCCCTGCGTTATTTATATTCTGCTCTTCCTTTTTGACCCTGACTTTTATTTATGATTTAATGTTATGATATATCATTCTCATTTATCGTTTGACTGCTTCCACACACTTGCATCCCATACTGCATAGCCCAGTTCGGAGATTTAATTTAAATTCGTAAATCTCTCCCATTGGTGTACTTACCGTTTCAAATCCGGACTGGCTGTGTATGGCGCCGAGACTTCCTTAATTTTCAACACAATTATGGCGGTAATAAAAATGCAAATCACATTCACAACCGTTAGCAGACACGAAACAATGCCATTGATCAAAAACTCCGTTGGCAAATAGTCGGTGTAGAGAAATGGATATGCCGATGTCTCGTTCATCGCTTCGCCCTTGATGTGGGGTATCCGGGTGCCGGGATAAATCAACCAAATGCAGGCCAATGCCCAAAAGAGACCCTAAAATAACAATGAAAAAAACAAATCGAGATGAAATGGGAGAAAAACATGAATTTATTTCAGGGGGAGGGGTTTAGTTTAATATTGGCATAGAAATAAAGAGGAAATTAAAAGGAATGCTTTTTCAATAGATAATTCAATTTTGTGTATAGAAAACAGGGGCGTAGGTGGGATTTTACAATTTTTATATATGTATATTTATTTAATATTTTTGATTTTTTCGTTTTGGAATCCTCTGATTTTGAGTGCTCTCTGGGAAACTTTGTATACCCCTTAGCACGGTATGCCAATCATGAAAAGGACACCCAAAACAAATTTCGAGATTTATTCCTTTGCGGTAAAAATAAAACAACACAGAAATGATAAAATGTTTTTTGGGTTTCTTTTTTTTCTTTGACTTCCAATAACCACCTGCTTTAATATTTAAATTTTGTCCTTTTCTCCCATTAGCCGGCTATCTGTTTCTCCAAAAAAGGACATTTGATTTTGTTATGTTTTCCTGATTTTTTTCTTCTATCTATTCGTTTGCTTTTAATTTTAGTTTATTTGTTTACTTTCTATGGTCTCACATTTCCCATTCGATTATCTTTTATTCATAGTCAAAATTTATGCGCCCGATTTTTATTATTAGATATAAAAATGTCAATAAAATATTCATTGGCTATGTCTTCTTGGGTCGAAAACATGGATTTATTCAGGAATAATTTATCAAAGGGATTTCCAGAAAAACATAACAAAAAACACATTTCATTGGAAATGTCTTTATGGTGTCATCGCCTGTTTGTCGTAGCTGACCAATGAATTTATTTATTTGTCAACAAAATAAATGTGGTTAACTGAGATAGCCAAACATTTTGGGCCCATGGAAAAATTACCAAAAGTTAACAAGAAATTGAGCACTAAATTGATCCTTAGAATATTAGAATATTTTTTACTATGTTCAGAATTTTAAAAATGACTTCAGAGACTCATTTTTAATTGGCTAATTATTAAGTGCCAAAAACTACGAATATTGGGTTCTACAAGAAAATAAAAAACTTGATTTCAACGTTGAGACCTTACTACTGTGATCATATGACCTCAACCCTCAACTTTAGAAATACCGGATGAATATGTCATCTGATATGATCAAAGTGCATTTCAGGAGTCGATCCCCCCTCTATCCATTTTTATGCCCCACATCACATAGTGGTAAGGGTATTATGTCTTTGTGCATTTGTTTGTAACATGGAAAAGGAAGCGTAGACCCATAATCACTTTCTGAGTCGATTTATGCATGTTTGTCCGTCCGTCCGTCTCTCCATGTATTTTGGTGAAAAAATGCAGATCGCATTTATTATCCGATTGAGATGAAATTTTCCAAGCAATATGACCCAAGGACGAACCTTATTGAATTTGGTGAGAATCGGATCAAATTTAGATATAGCTCCCACATATATATCTCAAACGATTTCGGCTTAATTATGCACCAAATGGCCAACATCAGTCCAAACGACCTGGATTTTGTTACATCCGACGGAATTCAGCTGGAAGCAAATACATCAAACATCGATTCAGATATAGCTATAGCTCCCATATATCCGTTTCATCCGATTTGGTGTTTAACGCCCTCCCCTATGTTTAACCCCTCATATGCACTCCACAAGAATGATATTTGGTACCAGATATCAGATACACCCCAGCAATACCAGTTTCAAATTTTATTGATATCGGTTCGGATTTAGGTACTCCACATCAATGATATTTGATACCGGACATCAGATACAGAGAATACCTCTGCCAAGTTGTATTGAGTTCGGTTCACATTGTTTTATAGCTTCGATATACATATTCATCCGATTTTACGGTTAGTGTCCACCTTATATGTAATATCATCCCAAATTTTATATTTCTTTCATATTCAACAGAATGTCTATATTTATTGCTTCAATAAATAGTTCTTAATATAATTCAATATTCTCTATAACCATTATATCCATTCAAATCAGACTCATACTTGGTGTGATTTACTTCACAAAAATTCCCAATATAAACTAATTTTTTTACGAGAGTTCTACTAAATACGCATAGTGGTGTAGGGTATCATATAGTCGACTCCGTCCGACTTTTGACCTTACTGGTTTTCCCTCTTTTTTTTTATACACTCAGCCATATGGCTAGAGAGGGTATATATCATTTGATACGGCCAAAACGTGCCTCATCAAAATGACATTTTTCTCCTTCTCTTTGGACCAAATCCGTTTCAGGATATTTGGACTCCATCTAGCGATGTCCGTCCGTCCGTCTGTTTCTCTTGTTGGCTGGTCCGCACGATAACTCTCGAAGGAAGTATCCGATTTGGTCCAAACTTGGTACATCGTAATATTTTTGGTCAATGAACAATATCGGTTCACTATACCAAGCACCTCCCCCACAAAGGGTCAACATTTTTAATAATTACAACTTTTTTAAAATGTGATGTAAGAATCCGATTGCCTTAAAATTTCACACATCAAAATATTTTTATTAACCCAAGGTGTTGTTAAGATGGAATAACTCGGTCTACTCCTCCTAGTACCTCCCTCACAAAAAGTCGAAATTTTCAACAAGAAATATTTTCTGCACAGAAAGAAAAATGATAATCCGATTTTGCTCCAACTTTCCAAATCTTAATATTTTCGTCAGTTCTTGGTCAGGTGCGATAATTAACAATATCGGTCCACTACTTCCCCACAAAAGGTCATCCCCACAAAGCGTCAAAATGTTGAATAATTAGAACTCTTTTAAAATGTGATTTAAGAATCCGATTGTCTTCAAATTTCACACATCCCAATAATTTTATTTACACAAGGTCTGGTGTTAAGATAAATCGGTTCAATCCTTCTGGTACCTCCCCCACAAAATGTCGAAATTTTGAATATTCATTAAGCTCATAATAAGCGAAATAAACATCAGATTCCCTTTAGACTTGGCACATCAAAATATTTCTATCAACGCAAGATCTGTTGTGAAAATGGAATAAATCGGTCCACTCCTTCAGGTACCTCCCCCACAAAGGGTCAAAATTTTGAATACCTATGGAGCTCATAAAACGTGAAATTAGCATCTGATTCCATTCAGACTTGGTACATCTCAATATTTCCATCAACACAAGATCCGTTTCAAAGACGGCACAGATCGGACCATTTCTTTTGGTACATTTATTTTGGAGAAACCAAACGCTCAAAGTAAGTCATCTAAGCATTCAACTTTCTGCAAATTTCGTACTTACAAACCTTTTTGCTAACACACGACCTTTTGTGAAGATGACATATAGCGTCACAAATCAGCGATGCTTTAAAACTAAATATTTCTCTTAATATGGATGAATATGGAATTTATAATTTGGCATAAATTTGGATATAAATGTTCGAATATCTTGTAATTTTGTCCATACCAATATTTTTAGCTGAATTAGATGAGGTGTGAAAATGAAGTACTTCGGTCCACTATATTTGGTACATCATGCACTTGTCAACATTTTCTAAAATTTTTCACATATTTCATATAAAGTAATGGAAATGGTCGATATAGTCCAAAACTGGCACGTCGCAATATTTATATCGGAAATGGGCAATACTGGCCCATAATCATAACATAAGTTCCAATATATCTATATATACATATATATCTATATACATCTGTTGATAAAACCGATTGATATTTTGTAACTTGTGTATTTTATTTTCTACCAATGCCTATGGTATTGTCGTCCGATACCCACACTTAGTACCATGTTTACTCATTCCTTGGTAATAAGAAGCATTCTTTTGCTTTGGTAATTATTAAAGAGTAACCCATAATTTTTCAAAAAATAGCTTGTTTACAATAACTTGTAATGGTTTATTTGACTTGGGTGGAGTCCAACATTGTGATGAACTTATTCTCTTTCTCCTTCTTACTTACGAAAGATAATCCTGTCTAAAAAAGGGAAGGTGGTTTCGATGGTCGTAACACCCAAGCATCTATCGAAAAAAAATGTAGTTGTGTACAGGTGAGAGTTACGGTAGCAGTATAAAAGTTCATCAAAATTCCAGGATTACTTTCTCAAAAACGTGAAAACTTTGCTGGTTCCTTATTGTATGTGATATAAATCGGCAGTATAAAAATGTTATGGAATATAAACTTAATTTAAACAAGGTCAGTCAATCCAGCGCCTATTTGTTCTCGTTCGGAAATTTTAGCCTCTTATAGAAGGTCAAGCAATTATAGAATCTTTATATATTTGTGAAAAACGTTTCATAGTTTCTAGAGCCGGAAAGTTCGGCGTCCACACCGGGCAAATATTCATGTTTATTCAGAAAAGTTCAAGGAGAGATATAAGTACTTATTTCGTAATTACGATATTCCTACAATGTAGCGAACCACGTTACAACACCCCATGGCCAATTGAATAATTAAAGGCAATAGTTGTTTTCTTAAATTATAGAATTCCCTTTTTTGTTAAATTTATCAGCCAACTGTTATACACTGTTATAACACTTTAAAAGATTTCACAATAAATTTCACTTTCGCCCGGGTCCACAATAAATTCAAACTTGAACTACATTATTTTGCCAGCCAAACACCAAACTGACAAGCGACTGAGAGAGCGAGAGAAATTAAATGCCTTGAACCCTTAACCCGCCGGAGGGTATCAGGCGGAATGAATGAATAGCTGTGCTAATAACCCAGAGCATGGGACATAAATGGACAACAACAAACAAATATATGGAGAGCGCCGCAACAACAACAACATTGAACTTACAGCAATAAATCTGTCACAACAACAGCAGTGTTCCGTTTGTTTTTATTTATGTTTTTTGGGAATATTTTCAGTTTTTTGGAAAATTCAGTTATGGCCATTGTTTTGTGTACGAGTGTGTGTGCAAGTGTGTCTGTGTGATATATGAGAACCTCCCAAATGCCCAGTAAAATTGCTAAATACCAACAAAACCAAAAATAAAAAAAATAAACAAATAAATCCAATAACAAATTCGAAA